CCTCTCCTTCAATTGTATTTATACTCAAAATTATGTAAACTTTATTTTCAATAAAACAAATAAGAATGACCAAAGCAATCAAATATAAACATGAGAGAAATTTTTACGTGGAAAACCCCTTCAAATAGAAGGGTAAAAACCACAGGACCTCTGGTCCATAAAAATATATCCACTATATCAAGAATGTGATACGAATACAACCACAACTACAGCACAAAGCAAGACGAAACAAGTAACTAACTACAAAGCAACAAGAAAATGGATAACAAATGGGAAAAAAATCACAAAAACAGAGCTTTTGTTCTGAGCTCCAAAAGCAATCTCAACCACTTAGACCCAAGATCAATGTCCGAAGAAGCCCCAGATCAAACTTATTCAGACAAGCAAACATATTAGATTATCTGCTACTGCTTGAAGACACTTCCTGAACCTCTCTGTATTTCTGCCATAGCTTTCCAAGAAAACAAGCGGAGGCACTGAAGAAGATAGGGTTCAGTTTGTTCCTCGCAAATGAACCAAAGCAAACTAAATTAAATGCAATCAACACAGTTTTTGTAATTTGTGCCTCGTAGCCATAGTCATTATACACCTCTTCTTTGGCAGTATTTTTTTTCTTGTTTAGTTGCATATCCCACAAGGCCCCACCAGAAAAAAATGAGAGCTGAAAAAATATACAAGATTCAATTAACACAATTCAACCCACCAAAAGCAACCTAAATAAAATGTCATCAATACCATACAGAATAGAGAGAACTTGAGAACTCACCAGCTTTGATGGACGTTTAATAAAATGTCAATTAACACAATTTCTGCTTCATCATTGGTCATCATAACACCTTCTTTAAACTTCAAATACCTTCAACAAGAGAAGCTGCGATAGAATATAAATTGTAACCTCTCCAATTAAGCCAATGCTTGATGATCCCTGAAACAAACAACTTAGTCTACTCAATGTCATTTATTAATAGATTATGATAGTTGGCCTTTTCAATTGGTTTCAATTATCAAATCTTCTCAGTTTGTTTTCTTGAGATACATTTAAACTTGACCTTGTAAGATGAGATATAAGAGAACATATCTACCCTGTCAATCTGCTTGAGCCTTGTGGATAAGTCCTTCATATTCAATGTAATTAGCACTCAGGAAAAACTTTGCGCCCTTGATAATCATCCTAGCTAAGAGGATCATAACCTACATGGATGCTATCAAGACCATGCGATTGAGGAGCAATCTTTAGGCGCACAGGGATCTTGTTCCCAATTTCTCTTCACTCCATGTGTTTACTTTCAGTATATTATTGCATCACCCAACACCTTCAGTTGTATACAGATTTTAGTCAAAATCATGTACGATAGATTTTAGAATTCCAGAAAAAACGCTGAAAACAAAAAGGTTTGAAATCCGTACCATTTAGTGGTTTTTTGGCACTTGTAAGAAATCTTTTACCTTAGAGCAGCAAGAGCATTGAGAATAAATGGAAGGGCTGATCTGTTGGTTCTTTGCAGGTAAAAGTTAATGTTTTCTCCACTCATCAGCTATAGAACTCATGTATATGGTACCCGTATATGCATGAGTACTCTGGAACAATGGTGCTGTACAAAATAGTTCCCCATTTTGAGAAATGTTAAATTCTCTATTCTGGTTCACTATGTGCTCTTCAACCTCAGCAAAGTGCATGTACTTCAGAACAATGAAAAAAGGTCCCGACATGTAACCATTTTTATGACAGCCATTTAGCGGAAAACATGTTCTTCATATGTTGCAGTTCCAGGAGTTGTAAGGCTTCCAGATCCATCACGAAGCATTCAGCAGAATAAAATCTGCAAAAATGCCAGAATAATTAAAAATTTGATTTAGTATGTAGTCTGATAAAAATTATAAATCAGTTACGAAAACAAGATTTTAAAAAAAATGAAAAACCAAGTCAAACTTCTGGTTTAGGTTCATACAGTGCAGACATAATTTGATCCCTCTTAAAATCCTCCAAGCCTTCCCGCAAGATAGAGATCCCACTGAAGAAATAAGGGTTCAGTTTGTGCGTCAGACATTTGGCACGGAACCTTGGGAGATATTTCAAGCATGGATGAATCACAAGTGCATCAATGCAAGTTTGCTGGCCCTGTGCGCACTTGTACTGCACAAGTGAATCATAAACAATGAGAACTAATGCTAAATAATGTTATATACATGCATGACACTTGTATTGCATAAACAAACGTATATTCTCACATGATGTTATATACATGCACTTGTACTGCATGTGTGCTCATGGGATTTCATTGTCCATTACAATTCAAGGGTTCAAATGAATTCATACTGCAATTATTTGGAACAATGTTAAAACACAAGAATACTTTTTAACAAACAGAGGCCTATAAGAGAAGACACCACTAGATAAGTAAATTTATTATGAACCACAACTATCCCTACAGAGCAGCCCCTGTTAAATTTAGCTAAACTAAACAACTAAATAAATTAAACAAAGGAATTTTGAACACATAATCCGAAGGAGGATCATGAAAAAAAGAAAAACTGACGATTATGGTGAAAGGTTTCGGTCAACATGCATGCTAGGCTTCTACGGCAGTGTGGCTATGCACTACTCTTTTCTCTTGCTTATGCATCAGTTGTTAATTGTTATGGGTCTGTTCAATGTTTCCTTGTGAGTGAGAGTTATAACAATGTATAAGTTCCAGACGGTAAAAAAATAAGAATGAGCTACTTAAAAATCTGGTAACCCATGAAACTATTGGACTAACTTTTGATTTCAATAGGGTCTCTTATGTGTTAGCTCCGGTCGGGTCAGACATCTTCCAACGAGGTCTTTCATTACCAAAGAATTATATTTTAACCTGTAAATTAAAATGAAATAAAATAAAATAAATATAATCAATTGGATAAAAGATTGTTGGAAGGAGAAACATGGAAAAGAATTTCAGCACTTAAGTCATCAATTAATCATACCTCACTCGTGCCTGAATAAATTGAACTGTAATGTTGTTGAAATTGGACAGCCTGCCCATCTATTTTGATATTAGGAATGTGCGAAATCTTTTCGCACTCTGGCCCAGACAGCCCACAGCCTTCAACAATAAGAGATTGTAGGTTGGAGAGGCGTCGCATGGCTTCAACGGAAGGTAAAAGCAATTCAGAACAGTAGCTAATATTCAGCTCCCGAAGAGAAGAGAGGTTGCCCAACCACTCTGGTAGAGCTTTCACTCGTGCGAAACACCCTATCAGCAATTCCTTGAGGGCAGTGAGATGTTGAAGCTGATGTGGTAGAGACTCTAATTTATTCCATCCACACAATTCCAATCTTTCGAGGGAGGGAAGGTAATGAATGAAAGTGAGTTCTGGGAATTCCGTCAACCCCTCGTGGAGAGGACCTATCCTTAACTCTTTTATGCTGAGATCTCCGAACCACTTTGGAAAAGCTTTCACTCTGAACCTGGTTATATGTAATTTCTTGAGGGTTGTGAGATGTTGAAGCTGATGTGGCAGATCCTCAAGTTTAGCCCATCCATTCAATACCAAATATTCAAGGGATGCATGGAGGTGATGGATCTTAGCAAGTCCTGGAAATTCAAACAACTCTGGCCAGAAAGGACCCATCCTTAACTCCTTCAAGCAGGTGAGGCTAGCCAGCCATTCTTCTGGAATGGTCCTTAGTTTATGACAATAAGTGATATGAAGAACACTGAGAGAATGCAATTTCCTGAAATCTTCTGGAATAGAAATTAACTGATGGCACAATTTAATTTTCAACTGCTGAAGAGATGAGAGTCCATCTATCCAAGACGGGTAGCTGGATCCATTGTAATTTATAATACTTAAACTTTTCAAATTTGAGTGAGGTTGAAGACCCTCTAGTACCTCCTTATGCTGGATCAATCCCATCAGTTGGTTCCACACAAATACCAACTCGTGTAACTCTGTCTTTTCATTTAGTCTGGCTCTAATGGCTTCTGATTTAGAAGTTACAAAATTAAGATTCTGAATCACCAGTTTCCCTCTAAGTTGGCTTAAGCATCCAAGTTCTTCAATTGTGAATCCCTCCTCTCTTCCCACAAAAAATGTTGGTAAAGTTTCAAGGGAAGTTAAGTGTCCAATCCCCCTCGGCATAAGGCTCAGTTTATCAAGATAAAGATGCCTCAACCTATCTAATTTGTTTGTATCATCAGGAAGCTTTTTAAGACCACAGCATTGCATAACTTTTAAAGTCTGCAACATGTAGAGCTTCGATAAAGATTCTGGTAATGCTTCAATTCTGCTTTTTTCGATTTCAAGGTATCTTAAGTGCTTTGATTTATCAAGACAACTTGACCAACTTTCTATGTCAGATCGCACTAATTTCAAAGATCGCAAGGTGTCGAGATCTAACCCCAATCTAAAGAACCGATAACCATGGATGAATCTACTTGAAGGTGACCCCATTTCAACACAATCCAAAAACAAAGAATGCAACCTCTGAGAAACACTCACACGAGGACGGGCTGGAAGCACTTCTTTATCATACTCAATTCTCAAATTTCGAACATTAGAATGGATAATATTGGGACAAGTCTTCCAAATAGAAGTTTCACCTTTTGAAATAGAGAGAGCAAGATCATGCACTAAATCAGGCATTTTGCAATAATCAACAATCCCAGATGCA